TAGAACACATTTTCCAGTTGCTGCTGTGAGATTTCATGAATTGCACTTGTGATCCTTACCCTCTGCATAGCTTACACTGTGCTAAAAAACATAAGGAATGACGCTTTCAATCGCCGTTTAGTTTGCTTCCATGTGTACATCCAAGGGGATTACAGTTTAAAGTTGCACAAGGACTTTTACAAACACCCTGTATAACACACACGCACATGCATGTGTAGCCTCCTCCATGGTACATGCATGCATGCATACATGCACCTGCCAACTTGCACATACACATCTACACACACGTACATGTGCACCTGTGCACACTAATCTACTGTTGTGTGCAAGGCCGCAGCCCCCCCCCAGCATTGTGCACAGGACCCCTCCCCTTATGCCCGGCCCTCACGGTGCAGGGGTGGGAGCATGCATGGGTGGGCAGCAGCAGGGCAGCTCAGTGGTGGGTGAAGCAGCACATGCCACCCTTGGGCATTTCCTAGGGAAGGGGGGGGTTGAGGTGGGGGCTGTGAGCATCCTGCAGCAGTGCCAGCCCCATTGCTTCCTGGGTTTGTCCCCCACCCTGCCAGATCAAGTCGGACAAGCAGCAGCCCGGGGGCGTCATCTACAGCATCAAGGGGCCGGGGGTGGACGAGGAGCCGCTGGGCATCTTCTCCATCGACAAGCTCAGCGGGAAGGTCTTCCTCAACACTGTGCTGGACCGGGAGCAGAACGAGCGCTTCCGTGTAAGCCTGGCTCCCCAGATGCCCCTGCAACACAGCCTCCTGTTGGGGTGCCACCTTCCCCTAGCCGGGGGGTTTGCAGCTGCCTGGGGGTGGGCACTGCGAGCTGCCGGTGACACCCTGTCCTGTGCCCAGCTGAAGGCCTACGCGCTGGACCTGGGGGGCAGGACGCTAGAGGACCCCACTGACCTGGAGATCATCGTGGTGGACCAGAACGACAACCGGCCCCTCTTCCGGCAGGAGGTGTTCACGGGGCATGTGATGGAGGGCGCCGAGCCAGGTGGGTGCATGGGGGCTGGCACTGAGCCAACGGTGCGCTTTGTTGTATGTGCCAACGATGCGCCCTGGGTGCCAAGAAGGCGACCGGCGTCCTGGGCTGCGTTGGTGGGAGCGGTGCCAGCAGACAGAGGGACGTGATTCTTCCCCTCTGTTCAGCGCCGGGGAGGCCACATCTGGAGTCCTGTGTCCAGCTGTGGGCCCCCCACTGCAGAAAGGATGTGGACACGTTGGAGAGAGTCCAGTGGAAGGCAATGAAAATGGTTGGGGGACAGGCCTGGTGAGGAGAGGCTGAGGGAACTGGGCTGATTTAGTTTGGAGAAGAGAAGACCGATGGGGGGGATTGAATAGCAGCCTCCAGCTCCCTCCCGGGGGGGGGGCTGCAAAGAGGATGGAGCTGGACTGGTTTCAGTGGGGACAGATGGCAGAACAAGGAGCAATGGGCTCAAGTTGCAGCAAGAGAAGTTGAGGTTGGATATTAGGGAAAACTTTGTCACTGGGAGGGTGGTGAAGCACTGGAACAGGCTACCCAGAGAGGTGGTGCAGTCTCCATCCTTGGCAGCTGTTAAGCCCCAGCTCAACAAAGCCGTGGCTGGGACAAGGTAGATGCGCCTGGTGCTGCTTTGAGTGGGGGGGTTGGAGTAGCTGTGACCTCCTGGGCTCCCTTCAACCCTTGTCTGTGATTCTGTAACCGTGTGTGTGTGTGTTTACAGGTACCCTGGTGATGACGGCAGAGGCCACAGATGCCGACGACCCTGACACGGACAACGCGGTGCTGCGGTTCTCCATCCTGGAGCCAGCCACCGGTGCCTTCCACATCAACGAGACCACGGGCGAAATCCGCACCGCGCAGGCCGGGCTGGACCGAGAGGTAGCAGGCCCTGGGGACCCGGCCGCTGCACTACGGGGTGGGGGCTGGGTGGTGTCCAGGGCACTTTGCGAGCAGAGCTGAGGTGCTTGGGGCAGCCCTGGGGTGGCACTGGCAGCGGCTGGGTGGGGGCTTTCGGTAGGTAGAGGTGTAGGGGACACAGGGCTGAGCATGGCTAATGCAGGGGTGTGATGGAGGGCAAGCAGGCAGCCCAACATGGCTCAAACGGGGTGCACCGGGGTGGGGGTGCCCAGGCCATGCAGAGGCAGGCATTGGGGGTGCAGGGCCACGCTGGCAGTGCCAGGTGGTGACCCATGCCCATCCAGGCAGTGGCCGTGTATAACCTGACGCTTCAAGTAGCTGACATGTCCGGGGACGGCCTCACCACCACGGCTGCCGCGGTCATCTACGTGGACGACATCAACGACAACCCGCCCGAGTTCACGGAGGACGAGGTAGGGGCTGGAGCCTCGGGGCTGGGGCCGGACGCCCGGGTCCCTTTCACCCCACTGGGGGCCGGTGGGAGCGGGGCAGAGCGGAGCAACCCTGTCCTCTCCCGCAGTTCTCCCTGGAGGTGGCGGAGGATGTGCAGGGGGCCGAGGTGGGCCGCGTGCTGGTGCACGACAAGGACCTGCCCGGCTCCCCCAACTGGCTGGCACGCTTCACCATCCTGGAGGGCGACCCCGAGGGCGTCTTCGCCATCCGCACCGACCCCCGCACCAACGATGGTGTCCTCTCCACCGCCAAGGTGAGGGCTACTGCAGAGATCCCCACCCTGGTGCATGCATCCTTGCACAGGGTGAGGTGGCACAGAGTAAAGGGCACTTCAACTTCCTTGGGTGGGCCGGGACCCTGCTGGATGACAGCACATGACTCCACGCTGACCCTCTCTACCCAGGCGCTGGACCACGAAGTCCGGGACCGCTTCGCGCTCACAGTCTCGGTGCAGAACCAGCAAGTGCTGGACCCCGCGGCCCCGCCGAGCGCCCGGGCGCTGGCCACGGTGCACGTGCACGTGCGAGATGTCAACGAGGCGCCCATCTTCCCGGAGAACCCACGCTTGGTGAGCGTGGCCGAGGGGGCGCCGCCTGGCACCGAGGTCACTGTCTACCGCGCCAGCGACCCCGACATCCGCCAGGCCCAGGCTCTCAGGTGAGACCCACCCCAGGGCAGGGACCACCCCTCACCCTGCACTAGGGATGCCAAGGGGTCAGGGGGCCCCGGTGACCAGTCTCCATCTGCCCCCAGCTACTCCCTGGCCTACGACCCAGCAGCCTGGCTGCGGGTGGAGCCGGGCTCCGGGCGGGTGCTGATCACGCGGGAGCTGCCGCGGCTCTCAGCCTTCCTGCAGGGAGGCCTGTACACGGCCCTCATCCTGGCCAGCGATGACGGTAAGACCTGTCCTCCCTGCCCCGCAGCCCAGCTGCCCCCTCTCCCCAGCCCAGGGCAGTGGGGCAGTGCCAGGCCCTGACCCCTGGTTTATGCACTCCCTTGCCCCCAGGTGAGCCTCCGCTCACAGCCACGGGGACCCTCTCCATCGAGATCTGGGAGGTCAACGACCACGCGCCCGTCCTGACCCCGCTGGCCGGCGTCGTGTGCAGCCAGCCAGGCCAGGGCCGGCCCCTGCTGCTCAGTGCTACCGACGAGGACCTGTCGCCCCACGCCGAGCCCTTCAACTTCAGCCTGGGCTCCGGCGACCCCCAGCTCGCCCGCAACTGGACCCTCAGCCGCGTCAACAGTGAGGGGCTGGGGTTGGTGCAGGGGGGGCAGAGCCTGGTCAGCGGGGCATGCATGGGCACCGTGTCCCACACCTCTCCCTGCCCGCAGAGACCCACGCTGCGCTGAGGCTGCTGGCGGAGGTGCCTGAGGGGCTCTACATGCTGCCCGTGCTGGTCTGCGACTCGGGGATCCCGCCGCAGGAGCAGAAGCAGCTGCTCAACGTGTCCGTGTGCCTCTGCGGGGACGGCGGTACCTGCTGGGAGGGGACGGCAGTCGCCTCCGCGGTGGGTGCCGGCCTCAGCTTCGAGGCCCTCATGATCGTCCTGGGCACCATCATCCTGCTGCTGCGTAAGTGAGATAGCGGCCCCGACCTTGCCCCGCTCTCCCCCCGCTCCCCCCACCCCAGCCCCACGCGCCGTGTCCGTCTGTCCCGGCAGTGCTGGTCCTGCTGGCCGCCATCGGGGAGCGGTGTCGGCAGCGCGCGCTGCGCAAGGGGCTGCTGGCGGGGTCTCGGGATGACCTGCGGGACAACATCCTCAACTACGACGAGCAGGGCGGCGGTGAGGAGGATCAGGTGAGACCGGGGGGATCTGAGCCCAGCACGGGCAGGAGCCCCTGGGACACCCCTAACCCCGTCCTCCCCGCAGGATGCCTATGACCTCAACCAGCTGCGCCACCCCGAGCTGTTCCCGCCGCCGTCGCCGCGGGGCAAGCAGCCGCTCCGCCGGGACGCACCGTACAGCTACGGCTCCCCTCTGTACCCCCGGCGCCTGCCTGCCGGCCCCTCCGACATTGAGGACTTCATCAACGAGGTGAGAGGAGGCAGGTGGGCCACGGGGTCCTGTCCAGCTCCCAGGGCCGTGGCTCTGCTGCCCCACTAGGCCCCGTCCTTCGTGTGCAACAGAGCTAAACTTGAGAGAGGAAGATGCGCTGACTGCCCAGCCCACGGCTCCCTGGTCCTTGAACATACCCCCAGCTCTGCAGGGCACTGCCAGGCACGTGCACCCCGCTGGAGGGCCCTGCTCTGCCTGACCTCCTTCCTGCACCCCCAGGGGCTGGACGCGGCCGACAGCGACCCCAGCGTGCCTCCGTACGACACAGCTCTCATCTACGACTACGAGGGCTCGGGCTCCGTGGCCGGGACGCTCAGCTCCATCGTCTCCAGCCTGGAGGACGGCGACCAGGACTACGACTACCTCAATGAGTGGGGCCCGCGCTTCCGGCGCCTGGCGGACCTGTACGGGCAGTAGGGGCGGCCGGGGCGCCGCACCAGGCTGCACCGCTCCAGTGTGCGGCACGGGCGGCTGCGGCACAGGGGGACTTTGCTTTCAGTGACACACGTGCACTAGGGTTTTCCCAGCTTTCAACCCTAAACCTGCAAGTTTTTGCACAGGGGAGAAGACCCCCCAAGCCCCTGTTGCATGGGACAGCGGCCCGCTGCCCTGGCCCTAGCCCCCCAGCCAGGCTGGGAGAAAGCACCTGTGCAGTACAGCGGAGGCTCAGGCCCGGGCCCTGCTCCTGGCTGCAGCCCGTGGTCCATGGAGCAATACAGGGCAGGGCTCTTCCTTGCAGAGGCAGAGCAAGGTGGGAGGGAAGGGGATCATTTACCCATGCCGGAGGGACCCCTATGCTGGACTTCTGCAGCAGCGATGGAGCCAGCCTTGGGAGCATCTGGGCCAGGGGTTGAGAGCACAGAAGCCAAAAGGCAGGGGTAGGGGCAGGGGCAGGGGCAGGACCACAGCCCAGACAGCAGCTGAGCAAGCAGCACCAGGCTGGGGGCAGCAGGAGAGGACAAAGGCCCAGGCAGGTACCGGACAGCAAGGGGCACAAATACGGCAGGGAAGGGGACTTGGAGCCTGGAGAGAGGAGCCAAGACCACTGCAGGCAGCCCTAGCACCGTGGGGGCAGGCCGAGGGGGTGGGGACGTGCACCCAAGGCAAGGGAAGGCCCCTGGCCGCTGGGAGCCAGGACAGCCTGGGAGAAATAAAGCAGAGCGAAGCCCGGGCTAGAAACAAGGCACTTTATTGGCAGCACCGGGCACACAGGGAGCGTCACCCCCCACCCCCAGCTCGGGCCTGCCGGGGTGAGGTCTGCCCCTGGCCTGCAGGGTAGGGGGACAGGTACCGTGTGCTGCACGACCGCCCAGGCGCTGCACGGGCAGGGACACAGAGGGTCTGTCCTGAGCACAGTGCGGGCACCTTGCAGCCCGTGGCGTACACTCACAGGACCACCCCAGCGCCCAGATGCCCCATGCAGCCCCCAGACCCCCCCGGGCTCCACACCTCCCTCCCCACGGCCAGTCGCAGCTCCCCCACTTCACGTCCATACCGAACACTGGACCCAGCTATGTCCCCAGACAGGACCCATAGGCACGGGGGGTGGCCGGCAGCAGGCGAGGGCCCCGGTGCGTGGAGCCCAACAGCTTCTTGGTGGCCGTGACAAGGCGGGCATAGCTCTGGGAGTCATCCTGGCTGTGGGACAAGAGCAGGGGCAGCCGGTCCTTGCGGCGTGAGGCCTGGAAGAGCGCAGGGCGGCGCTGGCGCTCCCCGTCCTCCAGGGACTCGGGCAGGGCCTTGCCCTTGGTCTCAGGCAGCAGCATGATGCTGAGCACGGAGAGGATGGCAAAGGAGGCGAAGACTACGTGGTGTAGGAAGAAGCCACGGCTGTTGCGGATGGCCATGATGGGCGCCGTTGCCTGGCCCATGAAGCTGGCTGCCAGGATGAGGCCCAGGCCCGAGCCCCTGCAAGGGAGAGCAGGCTTCAGCATCTAGCCACGGGGGAGGGGGGAAGTAGGTGCCACAGCTCAGCGCTGCCATGTGCCCACCCCTGAAGGGGGCAAAGCAGGGCCCTCTCTTACCTGAGCACAGTGGGGAGCACCTCGCCAGCAAAGAGGATGCTGAGCATAGCAACGGCATGCGAGGATGTGATGCCCAGGACAGAAAGGGTCAGCACCACCGAGTCCAGCAGGTCTGGGGGGGAGGGAAGCAGTTAGGGTGCATTGTGGGCAACAAGTGGGTCTCCCCAAGCCTGGAGCAGCAGGCTAGAAATAGAAAGCAGGACCAGCGCCATCCATGGGATGCTCCAGAGACCCAAGGGTGGGAGAGGAGAGGTCTCCCACGCTATATCCCAGCACTGTGTGCACAGCCACCCATGGGCTGCGGGGGGGTCCCCCATCACCCTGGAGCGCCCAGGGGCACTCAGTACAGGCAGCAGGAGGCTAGAGGGGGTGGACTCCCAATTCCCCTGTGGCCCAGGGAGCACCCCTGCATCACGCAGGGCAGAAGTGGAGCCCGAGGGGTGTTCATGAGCCGCCCCACGCCTTACACTGGGTGAGCGCCAGCAGCAGCAGCGAGGCGATGCCCGTGAGGATGGTGCAGAGCAGCAGCATGGCCCGCCGCCCAAAGCGGTCCACAGTGAGGCAGAGGCAGAGGCAGGCCACGGCCTCGGTGGCCGCCAGCAGGAAATAGGAGAAGTAGAAGCGGGGCGGGTAGGGTGCCAGGTTGCGGGTGAAGCAGTGTCGGATGCCGTTGCCGATGAACCTGGGGGGGGGGAATGTATGTGCACACGTGTGTCCCTGTCACCTTCCAGCCTCAGCCTGGTCCGAGCCATGGGGCTGGGACTGCAGAGGGGATACAGGGCAGGATGGAGCAGCTCCAGCAGGCACAGCCAGGACGAGGGGCACTGAGGAAGAAGTGGGGGGGACCCCAGCAGCCCCCCGGTGCCCACGCGGTGGGGTCCTTACGCAGTGAACCCCAGGATGAGGCTGTTCTTCCAGATGACGCGCGTGTCGACGATCTCGCAGACTGAGTGGTACCGGGGCAGTGGGGGCCCCTCCGACAGTGAGTCCAGCTCTGCTGGTGCAAGGGGGCAGGGTCAGCGTGGGCAGTGGGGCGGTGGCGGGCTCCAGCCCCAGCACCCCCGGCCCTCACCTGTGAATAGGTGCTCCCGGCTGTAGAAGTCGTCCCCCAGGGTCACGCCATTGCCCTCGGCCAGGCACCGCAGGACCCTCCTGCCCTTGTCCAGCTGCCGCGTGGCCAGAAGCCAGCGGGGCGACTCCGGGAAGAGCCAGGGGCAGCTGTGGGGGTGGCAGCACCATCATCAGCGGGGGCCCAGGGAGTGCTCCAGCCCCTCACCCAGCTCCAGCCCCCACCGGCGGCATTAGGGAGAGAACAGGAGCAGTCCCAGCCCCTCCTCCACACCAGCCGGGGCACAGGCCCTACCACACTCATGCCCCATGCCCAGGGACGCAGCAGGCCCCAGCTCCACGAGGCACCCAGGATAGGCAAGCCCTGCCCCAGCCCCCACTCTTCCCCATCCTTGCATCACCCCCCAGGTCTGCCCAACAGCTCCAGCCTTGGCAAATATTTACCCGTGGCGCCCGCCCGCAGCACTCGAGATGGAGGGTGTGGGCAAGCTTTGATCCACACCGGCCGTGGAGAGGCTGGAGCTGCACTTGACTGTTCCCAGGGGCCCAGAGCAACCCCCATCCGGCCGCAGGCGCCGGTCCTTACCTGGCGCAGACGGCCAGCACTGCCAGCAGCAGGGTCACGGCGCCCTGCAGCACCCGCCACTCCTGGCACAGCACGGCCAAGCCGGGCAGCAGCAGCTCCCCTGCCACCCAGAAGAAGCCGGCCACCATGACCACCATGAGGCGGTGCGGGGGGTCACACAGCTCCAGCCCTGGGGAAGACACAGGCAGAGGCTGCCCAGGTTGGCTGCGTGGGAGCCCCAGGCATCGGGCTGAGACAGCCTGGCGCCAGTGCCCCGCATGCCCTGCTGCAGACCCAGGCTCCCCCCATTGCAAAGCCCCAGCCCTATGGGTGAGGCACCCTCTGCCCCATACCAGGGCCCTTGCAGGGGGGATGAGCAAAAGTGGCCCCCAGACAGTGCTGAGCTCTGCCCCGGCTGCCCAAGGGGGTAGGAGCCGGGGGCTGCATCTCCCTGCGCAGCGTGGCGCTTTCACGCCTGCAGAAGCAGGGAGACAACGTTGGCATCAGAGCAGAGGTGCCTGGAGCCGGGGAAGGTGCGAGCGGCCGAGCGGGCCCTGGCCGGAGCAGGGGGACACTCACGCGCAACGTAGAGGGCGAGGAAGGCTCCGGCCAGCGCGGCCCCCAGCAGCAGCCGCAGCACCAGCAGCATGACATAGTCCGGCGCCAGCGCCACACCGACGCCCAGCGGGGCCGCGAGCACCAGGGAGCCCACGAAGCTGGCGCGGCGCCCGAACCTGGGGAGGCCGGGCAGGGCCGTGAGGGCCAGGCGGGTGCACCCAGGCGCAGGGGCGCGAGCGCGGGGCTGGGCCGTTACCTGTCGCAGGCCAGGCCCAGGAGGAGGCAGCCGCACAGCCAGCCCAGCAGGTAGGTGGTCTGCTCCAGAGGCACCTTCCAGTGGTTCGAGCACACCAGGTCCCACTGCGGGGGAGCGGCTGTGAGCTCCCTGCTGCTGCAGGGCTGCCGCCAGCACCGGGGCACAGCCCGGAGACCCTCCTCCCTCAGCCCCGGCTGCCCCCGCCCCGCAGGAGCGCGCCCGAGGATGCCAGCGGGACCCGCGCCCCCGCACGCCCACCGAGGGAACCCAAGAGCAGCCCCAGACTAGGCCCGTGCCCGGGTCCCGTCGGAGGGCAGCGACCCAGGTCTGGGCAGGGTTTGCCCCGCCCGTCTCCCGCTCGCGGCTGGTCCCATTCAGAGGCCGTGCCCCTCGCGCTCGACGGGCAGACCGGTCCCGTCCCCTGCCCGGGCCCAGGGCCAGCCCCGAGCAGCCGCAGGGGCACGGCCACGCACCCGGGCACCCTCCCATCACCCCGCGCTGGCACCATGTAGGAGCCACGCGCCCCCCTTGCCACCCGGGACCCTGCCCCCGAAAGCCACGGAAGCAGCCGCCAGGGAGGGCCCAGCACCCTGCTGCTCCAGCCCCGCTCCCAGGGCGCAGCGCCAAGCCCCCGGCCCCCGGCGCAGGGACCCGGGCGAGGCGGTCCCAGCTGTGC